TCCACAAAATGTTACTTGCATGTGATCTTAGGGATTTTGTTCATCACTTTCCACATTCTGTTAGGTCACCTTTCTTTGGAATGGGAACAAATAGGAATCTCCTCCAGCCATTAGCCAGGTAGCTGATTCCCAAATTTCTTGGTATATATGGGTGAGTGTTTTCATTAGCTTGTTGAAACATTTCAATTGGTATTCCATCAATTTCTGGAAGCTTGTTTTTAGTTGAACGCCTTTAGTGCAGATTGGACTTCTTTCAGTACCATCATTTCTTGATCATACACTACATCTTAAATAGCTGAATGTCAACCAATGATTTTTGGTACAGTGAAGTGACTGTATTCCTTCCATCTTCTTTTATTATTAATAAATCGTTTTATTGTGAGCTTTTACAGCTCTTGTAACCTTCTATCTTCTTTTGATGCTTCCTGCATCATTTAGTATGCTGCTCATGGAATTCAGTCTTCAATATTGCAATTTGAGGCTTGAAATTTTCCTTCAGTTCTCTCAGTTTTTGATCGGCTGAGTGTGTCCTTCCTTTCTGACTCCAGGTCTCCGCATGATTCATCGTAATACTCTACTCTCATTTCATTTTAATACCGCACTGTCTTCTCAAGCCCTCCTTTGAAGTTTTTTGTTCAACTCTTCCACTTCATTTCCTACATTTGCTTTAGTTATTCTGCCTCTAAAAACGAGTTTCAAACTGTCATGACATCCACTTTAGTCTTTTCTTTCTTTCCTCTCTTTTTAATGACCGCTTGTTTGCTTCATGTATGATATCATTCCACAACTCATCAGGTCCTCTGTCATTAGTGTTTAGCGTGTCAAAACTGTTCTTGAGAGGTTCTCAAAAGTCAGATGAAATATACTCAAGGTTATATTTTGGCTCTCATGGCCTTTTAATTTTCTTAATATTCAACCTGAGAAACTGATGCTCTCGTGCACAGTCAGCCTTGGCCTTGTGTTGGCCGATGCTCCTGTTTCTCTGTCGTCTCTTCTCGTCGACGTAGGCATTGGATTCCTTATATTCCATCTGGCGGAGTCCACGTGTTCAATCGCCCTTATGTTGTTGAAAAAAGGTTTTCGTAATGAAGAGGTCATTGGTCTTGCAAAATCCTAACATTTGATCTCCAGTGTCATTTTTATCTCATTTTTATTCCAACTACCTCCTCTTGGTTTCCCACTTTCATATTCCAACAATAATTATCAGTGCATCTTGATTGCACATTTTATCAATTTCATACAGGAGTTGGTGGAATTCTTTAGTTTTTTTCATTGTTCGTGTTAGTAGTTGATGTGCAAATTTGCATTAACTAACCTTTCTTGTAGGAGTATAAATTTTCTCTTGATACAAACAGCATGGAACTTCAATGTAGATGACAAGTTATTATTGAAAAGTTATTTTTATAATATTTGTCATTCGTTGCATAGTAAATCAGATGATTATCTGATTCCAAATATCTAATACCAGACCATATCAGCTCACTAATGCATAGGATATGGATATTTGTGGGTTTCATTTCTTTTTTGGTGATTTCCAATTTCCCTAGATTCATACATTCTCTATTGCTCTGATTTCTATGGATGTTTGCAGCTGTTTCTTTGAATTTTCAGTCATGCCTTATCAGCAAACCAAGGTCCTGAAAGCTTTACTCTAAGTCATTTAAGCCTGGGGAGTTCTTCCCCAGTCTACGTCTACTGAGTGCCTTTCACCCTAAGGGGCTCATCTTCTGGCACTATATCTCACAATGATCTGCTGCTCTTCATAAGGTGTTCAGAGGCTAATTCATTAGAAGTGGACAGCCTCTTCTTCCTTCACAGTCTGTCACCTCTGCTGAAACCTGTTCACTTGGGATGGCCCTGGTGGTATTTGAAATACTGAGGACATAGCATCTAGCATCACAGCAACACAGGAGCCACCACAATAGAAGGACAGACAGACCAGTGGTGGAGTTTTAATTATGGCAAACAATAAACAAGGCTTTTGGCTCAGGGACATGGAGTCAGAACCATGATTCAGCATGAAAGCCAGAGCTTCTAAGAATTTGATGAAGGTGGGGTGGAAAGGGGGAACTGATTGCAAGGATTTACATATAACCTCCTCCCTGGGGGACCGACAACAGAAAAGTGGGTGAAGGGAGATGTCAGACAGTGCAAGATATGACAAAACAATAATTTATAAATTATCAAGGGTTCATGAGGGAGAGGGGAGTGAGAAGGGAGGGGTAAAATGAGGAGCTGATGCCAGGGGCTTAAGTGGAGAGCAAGTGTGTTGAGAATGATGAAGGCAATGAATGTACAAATGTGCTTTACACAACTGATGTATGTATGGATTGTGATAAGAGTTGTATGAGCCCCTAATAAAATGATTTAAAAATAAATTAATTAAATTAAATTATTCAAAAAAAAGAATTTGTCACAGAATGCGTGACTACAAACATCATCCCAATGTCACAGGGACACGAAGGGCAAGCTCATTAGTCTTTGCCGGAGCTTCTTATGAGAGGTTTGGGGCTTGGCTCTCGCTAAGAATATGTATTCAGAGCCACCTTTTAGAACCGGTTTGCTTTTGTCTCTGCCAACATAATAGCTAGTAAAAGTACATTCAAGGTGGCTCTTCTGATTCTTCTTATCTCCTCACCTAAGGGAAAAAGGGAACCTGGGCAGGGAAGAGCATGCCCAGTTCTTTTAGGGCTAAAAGTGAGAGTGAATGAACATCACCTCCACTCCTACCCTCATTGGCTAGAAATTAATCGCATGTTCATACCCAGCTGGATAACCAGGGACTTCTACCGCTAAAAAGAAGAAAGGAAGAACAGACATAGTTGGGGGCAACTCTAGGTCTCAGAGGGAGCCCCTGGTGGTGCAAAGAGTTAAGTGGTTGGCTGCTAACTAAAAGTTTGGAAGTTGGAATCCACTCAGAGGTGCTTCAAGGGGTAGTGGATGGAGCTTCACTTTTTTTTTCTGAAAAAAATTAACAATTTTATTGGCATATAATTCACATATCATACAATTCAATGGTTTAAACATATTATAAGAGTTGTACAATTATCACTACAATCAATTTTAGAATATTTTCTTCTTTCTCCATGTGCCCCCCACCCCCTCCCAAACAGTTTCACTTCTGAGCATGAGGTTTGCTGAAGGCTATGGTTTATAGTGGGAGCCCTAAATTCATCTTGAGTCTCAAGCAGATTCAGTCCCCGGACAGACTATGTTTGGAAGTGGATTACTACCACTGCCCTTGCTAGTCCTTGGGAGAGCATGAGTCACATTCAGTTGTGGAGAGGGACCTGAACCAATCTTGTAAACTTTTCTGATCTGCAACAGTGTAGTCTCAGAATCATGGTCCCTTACCTGTGGTGAACTAACCTGCCATCCATTGTGATTTTGAGTTTCCTTTTTACTCCACGTCCTACTTAAGTAGTCTTGTGGCTGGTGATGTAGTGGTTACACAGTGGACTGTAATTCACACGAGTGGCAGTTCGAAGCCATCAGTATCTCCAGTAAACCATTACAACTTCAGAAACCCACAGGGGGTTGCTATCACTCAGCATTGACTGGATGGCAGTGTTTGGTTTTTTATTTTTGTGGCTGTGAACTTTAGACATTTTGATGGCCTCCTGCATGCTGATGGTCTCCTTCAAATGATTCGGTTTTGTCTTGTCTCTGTCCTGTTTAAGACTTACTAAATTTGTCTGTATAAACTATATATGAACTTGGGGACTCCGCCACCCCCCACCCCCCACCCCACCAAACAAATGAAAGGCCTGGCAATCTCTGCCAAATCTCTGCCATTGAAAATGGCACTGTTCTATTACTGGCACCCAGGGGCTCACCATGAGCTGGGATCCTTGGAAGAGCAACTGCTTTTGGTCTTGAGGTCCCAGCAAGAGGACGTGTGTGGGAGTTACTGTATAAAGGTAGTTTTATTATCAAGTGATATGCATACATAAAAAGCTAAAATATGCTTCCAAAACGTTCAGCCTATGTAACAAGTTCCCAGGTCAAGAAATTGACCCCGCAAACAAGAGACAGGGAGGAAGCAAGATTCGCTGGGGGATTGCATTGAACGAGTTGAATGAGAATGTGTATGAAACACTGAACGTAGAACTAGCATCTGCTCTGTGGCTTCATTTCACAATGTTTTAAAAAAAGACATATCTGACATATATAAAAAAGAGATGGAACATACTAAGGTCATTGGATTCATAGTGAGTTTACAGGTCGGGTAGAACTGTGCCTGTGGGTTTTCGAGGCTGGAACTCTTAAGGACAGTAGAAAGCCTTTTCTTCTGAGGAACGGTTGGTGGTTTTGAACGGCTGACCTTGCAGTTAGCAGCCTAACCAGTAACCACTACTTCAACAGGGCTCACCATAGGGTCACTATTAGTCGGAATCCACCGGTTGGCAGTGAGGAGCTCTTGGGAGGCTTGGTGGCATAGTGGATTATGGGTTGGGCTGCTAACCACAAAGTCAGTAGTTCAAACCACCAGCCGCTCCATTTGAAATGAGGCTTTCTGCTTACATAAAAAGTTCGTCTCGAGCAGAGGCAGTTTTACCCCGTTCTCTAGGGCTGTTATGAGCTGGAATCGACCAATGGCAGTGAGTGTCAGGATCCCAAAATTGTGCGTTTCCTTGATATGCTGGAGGTGGAGTTAACAAGGGACAGACGGCCGTACGTTGAGCCTGGTCGCAAACTGGGCGTGGTTAGCCGAAAAGAGGAGGAGCTTAGCGCCCAGGTCGAGCGACGAGGAAGGGGCGGAGCTTCGTGGAGGTCCGCACGGGGGGCCTTGTTTCCGGCTTCAGACTGGCGGCCAGAGCGCCGAAGCGAGGTGACGCAACTGCCGGAGGCACCTGAGTCTCACGGGCGAGGCAGGTGGAGCGTTGGCAGGACTGATTGGGGGAAGGTGCCTTACGACCCGAGTCGCGCGGCACTACGTGAGGGGCGGGGCCTGGCACCGTCAGCGACGAAGGGGCGGGGCCAGGCGCGCACGCTCCAAGATGGCGGCGCCCAGCGCGGCCGGCCTGGCGGCGAACGTCTTCCGCTTTCGCGACGCTCGCTCCGCACCGGACCCGGTGCTGGAGGCCGGCCCGGTGGCTTACGGGCCGCTGCCGGTGCCTTTGGTGCTGGACAACGGGTCGTTCCAGGCCCGCGCCGGTTGGGCATGCCCCAGGTCGGACCCCGACCCTGAGCCGCGCCTGCAGTTCCGAGCGGTGTGCGCCCGCGGGCGCGGCGCGGCACGGGGAGGGCCCGGCCCTCAGGTGGGCAACGCGCTGGGGAGCCTGGAGCCGCTGCGCTGGATGCTGCGCTCGCCCTTCGACCGCAACGTGCCGGTTAACCTGGAACTGCAGGAGCTGCTGTTCGACTACAGCTTCCAGCACCTGGGCGTCTCCTCACAGGTGACGGGCTGGGGATGTGGCGCGTGGAGGGGAGAGGGCGGGCCCACGCCTCCCCCAGAGAGAGAACAGCCGCAGCCGTGGATTTGCTTGTTGATGCCATTCTTTCACGCGGTCGATAACATATGATGGTAACTGCTAGGTCACTGGTTCAGACCCACCAGCTGATCCACAGGAGAAAGGTGAGGCTATGTACTGTGACAGGGGCCCTGGTAGCGTAATGGTTACTAGTTGGGCTGTTGATCCCAAGGTCCGCAGTTCCAAACCATCTACCGACCGCTCTGCAGGAGAAAGGTGAAGGGTTTCAGTCTGGGAAACCCATAGAGGCAGTTCTCCCCTGCCCTATAGGGCTGTTACCAGGAGGAAACCACGCAATGTGTGCCGTATGTGCTCTGGTACTCATTGCTAACCTCAAGGTCAGCAGTTGGAAACCACCAGCCGCCCCGTTGCAGAAAGACGAGGCTTTCTACTCCTGCAAAGAGTTACAGTCTCTGAAACCCAAAGGGGCAGTTCTGCCCTGCCCTGTAGGGTCACTCTGAGGTCGGAATCAACTCGCTGGCAGGGAGTTTGAGTTCAGAAACCCTAGATGGGGTGGTATGAGTCAGTGGCTTAAGCATAGGGCTGCTTGCTGTGAGTTCAAATCCACCAGGGCTCCGTGGAAGACAAGTGAGGCTGTTTGCTCCTGGGAATAGGAAACCCTAAAGTGCTTTTGTTTTGTTTTAAAAAGACAGTTCCTCCCCCCAACTACCAGGACCCCAATATTGCCTTGCAGACCTGGTTAGACCAGATGATGCACAGCGGTACAGATGGGAATTAGAAACGCAGGGAATCTAGGACAGATGAACCTCTCAGGACCAGGGGTGACAGTGGCAATACCAGGAGGGAAAGGGGGTGAAGAAAGGGGGAATGGATCACAGGGAGCTACATATAACCTCCTCTCTAGGGGACGGGCAGCAGAAGGGTGGGTGAAGGGAGACGCCGGACAGTGTAATATAAGATACAATAATGATTTATAAATTATTAAGGGTGCATGGGGGAGAGGGGAGGAGGAAGGGAAGGGGAGGGGGAACAAAAGGAAAATGAGCTGATTCCGGGAACCCAAGAGGCAAGCGAATTTTGGGAATAATGAGGGCAACAAATGTATAGATGTGTTTTATACCATTGATCTATGTATTGTGATGAATTGTATGAGCCCCAATAAGTTGATTTAAAAAAAAAAGGCAAAAAATAAATAAATCAGCTCAAAAATAAATAAATAAATAAATAAAATGAAAAGGCTGTTCTTCTGTTCTCATTTATACCCTGGTCCTTTTCTTTCAAAGTAGGGCTGTGTTGATCACCCCATCGTTCTGACAGAAGCGGTGTGCAACCCCCTGTATTCACGGCAGATGATGTCTGAACTTCTTTTTGAATGCTATGGGATTCCCAAGGTCGCCTATGGGATAGACGGTCTCTTCAGCTTCTACCACAATAAGCCCAAGAACTTGAGTTCCCACGGGCTCATCATTTCTTCTGGATACCAGTGTACACATATTTTACCCATCTTAGAAGGCAGGTGAGTCACCCTTATATGAGTGTTGCTGACTCGTGTGTTCAGGGCGTACTCTAAAGGTGGAGTGGAAAGAACAGGTTCTGGACCAAGGACTGGACCTCTGGGCTCAGCTCTGAGTCCAGCTCACTGTGTGACTGTGGTGAAGTCACTTTGCCATTAGTCACTCCCTCCTGGGAGGGAATTGGATTGGATGGTCTCTCAGGTCAAAATCCCTAATTCTAGGATTTTATGATTCTGATTTATGGGGCGATACTAGCACCATACTGGTAGGTAGTAGGCACTCAATAAAGAAGTGCTTTGAATGGCTCATTTAAATATATCTAATTTAGAAAGTCTCTACTGGAGTCACTTCATTAAGAAATTATAGTTTTTGTTTTATTATTGGGAGCTCTGTTATCACTCTGTGTAGACCCTTTCAGGTACAGTGCCTGCCTCATGCTAGGCACTCATTAGATCTTCCTGAATCGGATAAAGGGTGCGTGTCCTTGCTGTCATACGTAGGCCCTGTTATGATTGAACTTCAGCTGTCGTAAAAGGCTAGGCCAGTGTTGTGCACTCTTGAAGAAGGCCCCTCCACTGCCAAGGGGGAGTGCAGGCCAGGGGAGGGGAACCCTGGCTTTGGAGTTAGATGCCTAGCTTTGTGGCCCTGCTGGGGATGCTTAACCTTTACAGGGCAGTTACCTGGCATGGACGTTTGAGAAACAGGCAGTGAAGTGACCCAGTGCTTTCTAAGCACTTTGACTGTTGAAGTCACAGTGTTCAGTGCCAACTGCTTGAATTGAATACCTTTTTTGAATAAATATTTTAGAGTTATGTGAATATAAAAAAAATATTGAGTAAATAAATGTTTCCGTCTATTGAAACCTGTAGTGGAGTTTCTCATGGAGCATCTGTGAAAATAGATGAAGGGAAAAGTTCATTCTTAGATTGCCAATTCTCTTGAAATGTCCAGGTCTCTGTTTTAAGCGATCTGCCTCAGACCAGGTTCCCTGAAAGGGCAGAAAGCAGCAAATTGGAGCATGGCCTGTTCTCTTCTGCCCTCTCCTGGTGAGGGATGGGATAGCAGCGATGCTTTCGGTGCCACAAGGTGCCAGGTGCTGGTTCAGCAATGTTACTAGGCCTCTTCTCAGCAGGGCAGAGGGGCCAGCTGCCCTTTGCTGGATACCAGTGTGTGCCCACACACGCAAGGGTTTTCACCAGAAGTGAAGTGCCTAGGGGAAGTGCTCTCAAATGCAGGCTCCCGCCAGAGCCTTCTAGGGGGCTTGTTAAAATACAGATTCTCAAGCTCTTCTCAGACTAAAACAGTTGGAATCTCCGGGGTGCGGGTGGGGGAAGGAAGCCATAGGCATTGGGATTTTTAACATATCCCAGATTTCTGGGTACTTGATCCTAGGGCCACAGTTGAGATACAAAGATCTGACTCTGGGACACACCGTCCCCCTGTTGATCATTGTTTCCTGCTCAGACTCTGGTCAGCAGTTAGATGGCCAGGGGTCTGTCTGGACGGGAGTTCGGAAGTCCTGCCTTGTGTGAGAGGTTGGACCCAAGAACCCTGACAGTCCCTTCCTACAGTTCCAGTTTTCTTGTCAGCCAAGCAAGTCTGTGTGTTCCTCGTTCCTCTGCATGACTTTATCCCCACCCCCTCCCAAAGGACATCGTGCCCTGCACATTTTCTCCTCTGTGTTACAAACAATTCCTGTGCTGTTTTCTGTCGCCGGCTTGCAGGTTAGATGCTAAAAACTGCAAACGCATCAACCTTGGAGGAAGCCAAGCAGCTGGCTACCTCCAGCGCCTCCTTCAGCTGAAGTACCCCGGGCACCTGGCCGCCATCACGCTCAGCCGCATGGAGGAGATCCTGCACGAGCACAGCTACATTGCCGAGGATTACCTGGAAGGTAAGCTTTCAGCAAGGTGCAGGGGCAGACGCTTTGGGGTGTTGCCTGCCCTTGGATTGTTCCAGAAATTGTTATCAGGATGAAACGTGGACCTGTGCACTTACTGTTTTTAGCACCCTCTTCCCCTTTTGGCAGGAGCCCTGGTGGCATAGTGGTTATGTGATGGGCCATGATTCATACCATCAGCAGTTCGAAACCATCAGCCGGTCCTCAGAAGAAAGACGGGGCTTTCTTCTCCTATAAAGAGTTCCAGTCTTGGGAGCTCACAGGGGCAGTTCATCCCTGATCTGTAGGGTCTCTGTGAGCCGGCACTGACTTGATGGCAATGAGCTTGTTTGTTTTTTTTAACCTTTTTTGGCATGCATTTTCCTAATGAACTAGGCAGTGCGTTGATCATTGGCTTATGTGGCATCTGTCTGCAAATGGTAGCTTTTACAGCTTGCCCAAATACAGTCTTAGAATTGTCCAGCTTCAATGTATTCCAGAGTCAGACATTCCTGAAAGAGCCCGTGTCGGGGCTAGATACTGTTAAGGTAGAATGTTTACTGTGGGAGCACTTTTTATTTATTTTCTTTTCAAGTTAGACCTTGAACTTTTCATTGTAGTCTAAGCTACTCATATGTTTAATTACTGTAAGAATGATTACTGTTGTCTTTTATATTGCAATAGAAGTAATATTCCTCAGAAACCTAAATAGTTCGGATAAAATCAACGCGCTATGGAAATCCCACTGTGGGTGAAAGTCTGTCGCACAGAGCATGAATGAGCCGACTTGTTAGCCTGGAAGGGGCTGCCTTCATCCTGGTAGTAGCAAGCTCCTGAAGGGCAAGGCCTTGCCCTAGTTCCCTTCCAACAGGGCTGGGTTAAGACACCTGAGGGCCGCCCTGGACTGGCAATCTGGGGTGCGTCTCTGCTTACACATGCAAATGACATTTGTGACACATACATGTACATGTGTGTACATGTACATGTATTTGTGTGTTTGTGTGATCTAACTTCCTTTAAAAGGTGACCTTAATGTTAGTGATTGAATG